GGGTTCATTAAACATGTTCTACCACGTTAGCCCTCGACTACCCTAATCATTCTAAGCAACATATGGCAATCTGCGGTCTTTCCTTACACTTAGGTAGCACGGAAAGCCATAAAAATCTTGAACAAAAGTTCATCTTTCAACCGGCAGTCTAAATCCCACAGGGATCAACGAACGCTTTTCATTCCACTAATTTATTCTTGTTTTCCTTGTTGCCATGTTCCCACCAATAACGGAGCTCCATTCTCTGCCTTTAAAAGTACACACAACCCACAATTCCTGTATTCGCTCCGACGAAGGGCTAACGCTTGAAACGTCAGCTTTTGTAATCGTTACGGTGGCCAATTTACCAATTCAACTTTGTTGATATATCCAAATTATTTCGTTACTACTACCGACGCAACCCCATACAGTTTCTTTCGCAACTATCAGCCTTTACCCTAGGTTAGCCATGTTCTACCACGTTCGCCCTAATCTACCATAGGTAACCCATGCTCTACCACGTTTACCCCCATCTACTCTTCATTAACCATGTTTTACCACCTCAACCCGATCTAGCCTAGGTTACCCATGTTCTACCAAGTTCAGCCCCATCTACCCTAGGTTAGCCATACTCTACCACGTTAACTCTTATCTACCCTAGGTTAGCCATGTTCTACTACGTTGACCCTCATCTACACAAGATAACCCATGTTCTACCACGTTTACCCCTATCTACCCTTCATTAACCATGTAATACCACGTTAACCCTCATCTACCCTCGGTTAGCCATGTTCTACCGCGGTAACCCTCATCTACCCTAGGTTAACCATGTTCTACCACGTTTACCCCCATCTACCCTTGATGAACCATGTTCTATTACGTTAACCCTCATCTACCCTAGGTTAGCCATGTTCTACCACGTTCACCCTCATCTGCCCTAGGTATCCCATGTTCTACCACGTTTACCCCTATCTACCCTACCTTAGCCATGTTCTTCCACGTTAACCCACGACTACCCTAGGTTAGCTATGCTCTACCACGATTACCCTCCTCTACCCTAGGTAACAAATGTTCTACAACGTTTACCCCCATCTACCCTTGCTTAACCATGTTCTACCACGTTAGCCCTCAACTACCCTAGGTTAGCCCTATTCTACCACGTTCACCCTCATCTATTCTAAGAAACCCATGTTTTACCACGTTTACCCCCATCTACCCTTCCTTAACCATGTTCTACCACGTTAGCCCTCAACTACCCTAAGAAAGCCATATTCTACCACGTTTACCCTCATCTTCCCCAAGAAACCCATGTTCTACCACGTTTACTCCCATCTACCCTTGATTAACCATGTTCTACCACGTAATCCTCATTTACCCTAGGTCAGCCATGTTGTACCACGTTCATCCTCATCTACCCTAGGTAACCCATGTTCTACCACGTTAAGCCCCATGTACCCTAGGTTACCCATGTTTTATCAAGTTCACCCCCATCTACCCTAGCTTAGCCATGTTATACCACGTTCAGCCTCATCTACCCTAGGTATCCCATGTTCTACCACGATTACCCCTATCTACACTACTTTAGCCATGTTCTACCACGTTTGGCCTGATCTTCCCTAGGTAACACATGTTCTCCCACGTTCACCGTCATCTACCCTAGGTCATCCATGTTCTACCACGTACACCCTCTTCTACCCTAGGTAACCCATTTTCTACCACGTTTGCCCCCTTCTACCCTTGATTAATCATGTTCTTCCACCTTTACCCTTATCTACCCTAGGTTAGCCATGTTCTACCACGTTTACCCCCATCTACCCCATTTTAACCATATCCTACTACGTTCAGCCTCATCTACCCCACCTTAGTCATGTTCTTCCACGATAACCCTCGACTACCCTAGGTTAGCCATGTTCTACCACGTTCACCCTCGTTTACCCTAGGTAACCCATGTACTAGCACGCTTACCCCCATCTACCCTTGCTTAACCATGTACTACTACGTTAGCCCGCAACTACCCGAGGGTAGATGAGGGTTAACGTGGTAGAACATGGTTAATCAAGGGTAGATAGGGGTAAACACGGTAGAACACGGGTTACCTAGGGTAGATGAGGGTAAACGCGGTAGAACATGGCTAACCTAGGTTAGATGAAGGTTAACGTGGTAGAACATGGCTAACTTAGGGTAGATGAGGGTTAACGTGGTAGAACATGGTTAATCAAGGGTAGACGGGGTAAGCGTGGTAGAACATGGGTTACCTAGGGTAGATGAGGGTGAACGTGGTAGAATATGGTTAATCAAGGGTAGACAGGAGCCTATCACAAGTGATGAGCTCCTGGGGTAGACAGGAGCCTATCACTTGTGGGCTCCTGGTGGCTCCTCATGGGCTCCTGGGGTAGATGGGGGTAAACGTGGTAGAACATGGGTTACCTAGGGTAGATGAGGGTGAACGTGGTAGAATATGGCTAACCTAGAGTAGGTGAGGGTTAACGTGGTAGAACATGTTTAACCTAGAGTAGATGGGGGTAAACTTGTTAGAACATGGCTAACCTAGGGTAGATGGGGGTAAACTGGGTAAAACATGGTTAACTTAAAGAAGATGAAGGTAACTGAGAGAACAAGGTTGGCTAGGACATATCGTGCAACATGCATGAATGGTATATTACTTAATATTAATGGATATTAGTTATTGGGACGTTATATGGACCTAAAATTATAAAATTAACGCTTTTTACCCTCTGACTAACCTTGTCGTGATGGTGACAGAGAAAGCCTGGGAACTGAAGCGTTGAAATCATTTCAACAACATGGCGGATTTCGATATTGGTGAATCACTTCCGACTGAAGATTCCCAGTTGCACGCCGTTATGACTTCTCAAAGAGACATTAATTCAATAAAGACTGTTGGAGGTGAAGATGTTCATAGCTCTGAAGATGGCGAGAAATCAGTCGCTGAGAACAACGATGAAGAGCGAAAACCGGCTGTACACAGAACTTTGGAAAATGGGACGAACACTTCAAGTTCAACTGATAGAGCTGAAATGAGCGAAAAGAGCATTAAAAATATTGACGAATTGAATACAAAGCAACAAAGCACTGTAGAAACACCGAAGCTGGATTCATTAGAACCTGGAGACCAGGAAAAAGTGCTTGATAATAATGTTGAAAAGAAAGAGAACTCTGCAAACGGCATACACCAAACAGAACATTCACAATCCCCAGCTGAAAGTAATATCAGTTCCAAGAATATCCAGGAAAATTCAACAAGTGATCATGAAAGTGGCAGTCACAGATCTCCAAATAGGGAGAGTAAAGCTGAATACAGGAAGATCAAAAGTGAAGTAACAGGAGAAGCAGAAACGTCCGAAAGCGAAGGAGAAGAAAAAGATACAAAGACTAGTGATCAAACTGAAGATACTTGGATGGATATACTAGGAAATGGGCTACTTCAAAAAAGGGTAATGAATACTTATTATTGTTAAGTTTCTTCTTCATGGGCAGAATTTGGTGAAACATGTGTATATGCAATATACTGTACTTGCAGACTGCAGATCCATACAATCCTGGTTCTTCACTGGTTGGCGAACAGTTGGTTCTTCTCTTTTCTTTTGCATGTGGTTAGCTCCATTTTTGTTTTCTTGCTGGTAGCTTTTATTTCATAGTGAGGTGTAAGTGGTTGGCAATACTTGTAAATGTGGCCCACTTGTGTGTTCGGGAAGGGACCTGCTAGTTGAAAACCTGGGTCAAATTCATGAGATTACTCTACCCAGATTTCCCAGATTCAATCCCTCCCCCTTCCTAAAATGAAAGAAAAACTGAAAACTTCCAAACATTACTTAGCTCCTTAACTACCAACTCCACTTAAAAGTCCTGTTCCAATATAATGTTTTTCAAAATTTTCACTCATTTTGAGTTATAGGAGCCAGTTTATTTTACTTCTCCAGTGCCAGAGATTTGACTGCTACTCTCTAACTTTTGAGGTACTCAGTTGGTCATGTAGACACAATATGCAKA